GGGGGGGGGGGGGGGGGCGTCAGAATTGTTTGCGTACACCCATCTCGGGGTAGTGCTTCTTGTCTGCTGTACTCGTGGGTTGACGTGAAAACTTGTTCAGCGGCGCTAGTCTCTAGGTTTGATTCAAGTTCTTGTCACGGCCTGTATGTTTGTGTGTCTATAGCAAGAAGCTCCGTAGGCGGACACAGCCTGTCACCACGGTGGTGTAAACGGGTGATGAATTCGATCACTATCTAACCCGCTACATTCATGCATACTCCGGGAGTTCGAATCCATGCAAAGCGTTTTCCGTACTCTTTCGTACCAGGTAAGTAAGTGGCGATCGCTTGTTCGTGAGTATCGTTCAGGGGTGGACGACTGAACCCGCCTTGCGTTAGAAGCCTTTTAGAGGGAAAAGTAGAAACCACAGCTACGGCCATTCAACGACATGACCAAAAAAAATCGAAAGTCTACGTCGTACAACAGGAGCGGGTGGGGGAGGTTGTTGCTCGAGCTAGAAAGAGGAGGGTTAACTGGGGTGACAGGGTGCTTGCTTCTGCATTGCTTGTCTTGCGTATCTCGTCGCGTGCGCCACCCACCATTAACATCCCTTTAGACTGGGAGCACGGATCACAGATTGGGTGAGGTTTTATGTCTCTGTTCACGAGTCCTATCGGGATACTCACAACGGGTGTTGTGCCACGTGGGGTTCCCACGAGCAACTCACGTGATCATGAGAGTTTGTCGCACACGAGGGCTCCTATGTTGCTTCCATGGCGCCCAACGACTATTTTCAGACGGAACCACATGAAGAACTGCTACATATCCCTCTCATACCTCAATATCGAACAAGTAGCAGTTCAAAATTTTCGATTTCCTCTTCACAAACCACAGAAATGATATATTGTTCAAAACCTGTCGAAAGACACGGAACGTCACGGCACGACACAACACGACACAACACGACACAACACGAGAAGGCCTTGGCAAGGTGACTACACCACACAGCCAATCAGCCCCTTCGAAAAAGAACGCAGCTGGCTCCTGGGGTACGAGTTCCAATAGGAAACGGATACTAAACACCAGAAGACAAAAAAGCATTTCTAAACAAGGCAGCAGCAGGTAGCAGCGTCCGTGAGCTGCATAACAAAATTCGTTGATACGAGCCGCTCACCTTATTCCTCACCGTCACGGCGACAGCAGCGACGGAGTACATTCATGCACAGAAAAAACGCACCGGGGGCCGATCCCCCGTTGTCAGCGACGCCCCCCTTAAAATTTCTATGTCCCGCCTTTGCGAGGACGCAAGGGCCTACGGGGAACCGCAACAACGTCAAATGGATGAGCACCCCCCTTCCGTGCCCGCCCTCTCGCCCATTCCACGTAACCCCCCCCTTATGCTGCTGTGGCCACTCTGCCTGCGAAGGATACTGATCGGAAGCAAAGCGCTGGGAAGCAGACAAAGCTGTACGAAGCACCAACACAACACCACAAGAGACAGGCGCTTCGCACGTGCAGCCCAATATTCTCCACCTACCATGCGTCGAAGAAGAAAAGGCGAGCGTGTTTCCCGCCAGCGTTCATCCTTTTCTCATCCGTCCTTCCCACGCAAGAGGCAAGCAACCGACAACGCCGTTCGTAGGGGTGGGAAACCCGTATGGAAATCCATACCCCGAGCAAACTCTCGGTAGAAATACCCCAACAACCCGGACGGAGACGGCATCTTTACATATACCCCGGGGTGTGGGGCGGGAGCACATCGCGACGGCGGAAGGGTTTACTTCCCGCAAGTATTCCTGAATCTAGGTCGCCAGGTCTGACGCTGCACCGCTGTCCCAAGTCTGCTGCAAGTCGCGGCGGGTTGCGCGAGCAAAGCTGTGCGCACCCGCGCCGCCAAATAGTCGCGGACGCTACCCGTCGCTACCTTCACATACACATCAGCGTGGTACTAGACGTTTGACCAGCCAATGCTGCTGTGAACCGATTGTTGCGCGCAGACAGCGTTTAAGATATAGTAGCTGTCGCTAAAACGAGCGACAGCTGATAGATGTAACTGTCGTCAGACGTGTGCGTCCGCGGGAGGTGGAAGAGACCCTTTCTTCTTCTTTTTCTCTTTGCAATTCACGTCATTGGTTACCCGCGACGGCGCTGAAGACGCCCATGTCCGTGTACTTGACCCTCGTACTCTGTGCTAACTCCCCAAGTCTAACCTCTTCCTGCAGCCTAGCCTTCATCGTCGGCGAATTTCCAAGGTTACCAATCCTGTCGAAACTCATGGGCTCTACCATGAGGTCCACAAGTCTCTTCGCCCTACTGAGACAGACGAAAGTAAGCCCCGTGCAGGCCTCCTTGGGCCCCAAGTCAATGACGGCCTTGGCTAAAGTCTGCCCC